TAAGAATACAAGGAGTTTTTGAGGATAATTTAGTGTTACATTGTGAGTATGAGTACATCCCAGAGTGCTCAGAGCTGTGCAACGGGCTTACTGAGCCTCTTAAGATCTTATTCAATAGATGCCTGGATGAGAAAAAGGTTACCTTATTCAGTCAGGGCGATCGTCCCTCCACGAATAATTATAGACTAGTGAACCTGACCAGCATAGTGTGTAAAGTACTGGAGAGCATTATTAGAGATGCCATGATGGAACATCTACTACGAAACAACTTTGTAAGGAACTGACAACATGCCAACTGCCATCGAGTTAGGAGTAAGGGTAGAGGGTGCATAGAAACTATAACGCGTGAGTGTACCTGAGACAAGTGGGGTACCACAGTGCAGTGTACTGGGCCCGTTGTTGTTTGTTTGTTCCATAAACGACATGCCAGAAGCTACAGAATATTTTTTTATTATTTTTTTTACGGGAATTAGCCCACCCGGACACAGGTCGAACGACCCACAACGGGAATGATACCAAGTTATTCAGGGAAATTAAGAACCAAACGGACTGTGAAGAGATACAGAAATATCCCTGCCAGCTTCAAGAGCGGTAGAAATCAAGAAATGTAAGAGGATGTACAGTAGCTAAAACAACTATCTGTGCAGGTGGGGGTCGATATGCTCCGAAATTTTACGTGTGACTTGTGACAGCCCTCATATACCAATATTTATCGTCCATGGTCTCATATTGTTTCCCACAAAGTATGCACAGATAGTTGTTTTAGCTACTGTACCTAGATCGTGCCAATTATGGAGGCGTACCCCATGTCCCAACGAGACGAAAAAAAAGCATTAATAGAGACCGAATGTGGAGAGGACCTGGGTGTGTCTGTTGACAATGAACTGAAGTTCTCAGGTCATTGTGAGTCGTTCGGCTAATTCCCGTAAAAAAAATCGTAACGCTCTTCAAGAGTGAGGTGCTTTCCCGTCTGGAATATACTGTCTGGTCCCCGAGATATGCTAGACTGCTAGAGACTATCAGTTGACTGAAAATGTCCAAAAAGAGGGCTATCAGGCTGCTGCCTGCGATACAGCACCTCAGTTACCCAAAGATTAAAACGCTTGCAACTGCCTAGCTTATACTATAGGCGGGGTGACTTAATTTACAAACATCTCAGAGGACACTACTCAGTCCAGTGTCCATACCTGGAGCTGGCGGACGCCCGCCCCAACAGAGGTCACAGCTCAAGGTTGAAGAACCAACAGGCCCAGAAAATTGTGAGGGCAAACTTTTTTGGAGTAAGAATTGTAAACTCTTGGAATAATCTGCCAGTGTTGTGACAATGTGGTGGATTCCTCCACTACAAACGCTGTTTGTCGCTGAAGAGCCGACCCACGAATCCAGCCGCACCTCGTGTCTAGGTCAACCAGAGCCGCCTTACACGACTGAGGTCAACTATTAAGCCACGCCTACCCCCGCTATATAAGACCTGACCTCGTGGTGACCTACCTCTTTCTACTCACAGCCACCAGCAAGCAACACCTCCTCCTCCTGCCTGGCGGCCCTCGCTCCCACCGGCGAGCATGGCGACCCACAAGCTTGTCCTCCTCTGAGCACCCTCACCAACCAGCTCTCTCTACATCACGCTTGTAACCACGCTGCTACTTCCCAGCACCAAGCTGCATTGTACATCCAATACAACATGTATACAGAGTGCACATTGTGAGTTTCCTTTCTCCATCCCATCCTGAGTGTGACCCAATATCTCATAACTCCACAACACCGAGTGTGAGCTCTTTCAAAAACAGACTTGACCGACACGTTCAGGAGCTGGTGCATGCCCAGTACTTGCCAACAGTGCGTAACAGAGAAGTAACCGATCGCCCAAGCGGCTAACGAGCCGATCATTGGTGAAGAGGATAAAAGTAAAAAGTAAGAGTAATAATTGCTTATGCCTGCTTGTTACGGTAATATCTTGCTTGTAGATCCTATTGTGCTCCGTTCGTACTATACATTCTAGCCAAGAGGGGCGGAACCAGGAAATTTTCAAGGGAGGAATACATTATTATATACACAAAGAAGGCCACCTAATGTAGGACTGAAAGAGCACTTTGAAATTTTGTACGTGTATCAACACTACTGTAATAGATGGCAAGTGATTAGACAGCGATTAGAATACCATACAGCAGAGGCATTGCCCTAGTCACAGTGTGTTAACCACTTGACCATTATTTTATCACTTCCACCACTTGTTAACTTACTAGCTAATCGGGTGGTCTGTCTGTTCTTTGATATGACCTTCATTACCCAGTGTTAGTACAGGAGGGAACCGGAGTATCCGGAGAAAACTTGCGATGTTTGGTAGAGCGCCTTCGGGTGCCTATTTCATGCTATAGAGGGGCTATGCGTGATTTAATAATAGTTTAGACACACCGTGTAGAACAGTACCCAGTCAAATGTAAATACATATCTGAAACTAGTGGATGGCCTCCCCGATAGAGGTCACAACTTAAGTTAAAGAAGCTAGCAGTACAGAAAACAGTCTGAGCGAACTTCTTTTGAATAAACACACAAATGTTTTTGTCTTAAACACTTACATTCCCTCCTTAGTATCGTCACCTTTGGAGGAACATCTTTATGGAATATTGTTTCAAAGTCATTCCGAATTTCAGCAAAGGTCTTTCCCCTATATGGTCTTTCGTGGGCGCGGCCAGACATACTGCCTCACACTCCTGTGCTCACGCAGTTACGAATGTTACCCTTTGTGTATAGAACTAAACAAAGAATTTATTTGAAATACTCTGTAACATTTAATGCCACAATATCCTGACCACGGTGGCTAGTTATACTGACCCTTTGTGAACTCTACTCTGTAATCCATTTGTACTACCGCTCACAGGACGACTATGGGGTGCACAATAAACTTGCCGCTGTAAGTAGCAAAATTAATTGATTAATTAATTAATAGGCCCCACGCTCATTGCTACACATTCTTCAACCAAATAGTTACTAATAGGCCTATCGTTTTATTATCACAGGGACTACAGTCTTATACCTGTAACAGAAAATAAAAAAATCAGATCCCCCCCCCCCCTTTGGATATACCTGGATCCGCCCCTGTGTGTGTGTATAATTACTGGCCATGTATTGTGAAAATTTGAGTGGCGGACAATGACTAGAGTTAGGTTGACGGCATAACTTGTACACGTCGGGGGACTTGGGTTGAGCGGCGTGATTTAGGGGGTGGACTGATAACGTCACCAAGGTCACTTTGGGGGAGAGATGACTTATTTTTACAGCTCTGACGGACGAAGAAAACCGGTGTCTTGTTTAACCCCCCATTGTAACATCCCGATGAGTTAATGTTCTCCATTTCCCAGTACAGAAGGTACCCGGAAAATATCTTTCCATGTTATATTAGATTACACTCTTCTCACATCCGACCTGAGTATTGAACCCTTAACGAACCAAAAAGATGCATGCGCTCTACCACTGTACCTCTCAAGGAACACGTCGGCGTGATTTAGTCCACGGTATCAATAAAACCCAAAACTGAAGAGTTCCCTTGCCGTGACCAGGATTCGAACCTGGGTTATTGCGGCCACAACGCAATGTACTAACCACTATACGATCACGGCCACAGTGGAACTTAAATTTCAATAGTGGGATAGAACTAGAGTTAAAAAATATCACGGGACAAAGTGCGGTACCAACAGATTGGTCCCGAGAAAAAAAAAATTAATCATTACCATACGAAGCACATGGGAAGAGGGTAATACTGAAGTGTTATTCGTTGGCAGTGAGTGTGGTTCACGAATCATAAGAGCAGTATATGTGAAGAAGGAACATTTAAGAACAATACAGTGATCCTCATATCAGCTGGGGAAGAATGAAACCGTGAAAACAATGATTAATTTGGACAACTCTGCGCTGTTCGGGTGGCACCCAGGCACTTGACGTCACTACCAGGCCGCCAAGTCGCGAATTTTATTTCATTAAGGCATTACGTTATAGGTCTCAGTTATAACAAAACAAGTGAGTCAATAACTAATAGGAAGGTAACTGGAACTGTACATAGAAAAAGATAAGATTTTTAACAAGAGAAGCAAGTTAAATAGCGAATGAAACTCGGACAGAAACCATTATCAGAATTTTATAACAAAAAGGGAATTTGGAGGAACAAAACTAAAAAAAAAGAGAAAGAAAGAGCGGTATAACGCAAATAAGAGAAGTCTGTGAAAATAAGCATCTGATGTCTTTAATAGTTATCCTTGGTCGAACTGCTTGCTGTTTACTGCACTGTCTAGGTACATTATATACCTGCATTGCCTACGGTCCTACGTACATACATCTGGAATTAGTGGATGGCTACCAGTGTTAGATTACCAGAAAGAATGGGAGGGAGGCAAGGGCATAAGCCCCTCAAAAAATAATTTGATGCAGTTTGATTTTACGGATCATATGAAGATCTTCCCCCCCAAAGTATCCAACTGAAGATCCTCCCCCCAGGCTAGGTTTGGGGGGGAGGATCTTCATATGATCCGATTTTACAACCTTCACTGACAAATGAATTGCGGTCGGCTGACCATGTGTGTTTTATTAAATGTTATGATTGACTGATTCTTATGTAAAGATATAACATGTGAACATCGTGCAATCCTTTTCAAGAACTGTATAATCTGTGTGATAATTGGTTACCTCTCGCTCTTGGTAACCTTCCTGAAAATTATCAACCAAACGCCACCTCTCATAAAACTAGTGTAAATAAATGATGATGATTACCGTTTGGTAAATATTCGTCCAGTGGCTATCCTCAGGTTTTTATATAACAATATGTGGGTTTTTGGGGTGTATTATGGTGTATTTTTTCTCAAATCTGACCTACATTTTTGGTGCAAATAAATATATTTTTTTAAATGAACATTTTCATTTGTAACCGAAACCGCTAATTTGCCCCCAAAATGGCGGTCAGGTTTGAGTAAAACACACAAAAAAACCTAACCATTTTTTTAGCTTACCTGCTCCTGTCATGGTGGAGGATACAGCTGGGCGATCTGGTGCGCTTATGGTTACAAACGAAGGAATTTCTTTCCTTAAAAGTGAACAATTTCCACTTACGACAGTCTTGATGTTGGTAGGGCACCGTGACCTTGTAATATTTGGATTGCTTCACTGTCGTTCTCACAAACTCGCTGAATAACAACTAGATAAGGGAGAGAACACTTATCGCATGCCATCACGAGCCTTCAAAATTCGAAATTGTGCGGTGGAAGGCTGCTTCAAAATGATTGGCCAGCCAAGTCAAGTGACGCGATGCTCGGTGTCTTGTGGCAGAGGAGGAGAGAAGTGACTGGCAACATGGCGGGTACAAAAATTTACGCCTAGAAATTTGTGATACTCCGTTAATATTAATCTACACAAGAAAAGATATGAAGTCATATATTTTTGTTTATTATTCTCTGCGTCTGTAATATTGAAAATTGGGAACCTGCTGACAGCCCATGGACGATTATTACCTGCTGTTTTTGCAATGAAACCAATACTTTCATTTTAATATATTTTATCCACATCCCACACACCCTACTAAACGAATTATTTTACAGTGTATGAAGAAGGTATTGCACTTTCACAGACATTTGTCCAAAATTGACAGCACATGAACATTTTAAAATTTTCCGCCTTAAAACACATCATCTTGCCTTGGTAACAATCACTTTCCCTCGAGCTGCTGAGGCATTAGAGTAATGGGTCGAGAAGTAAAAGGGTGCAGGGTGCGTGATGTCGAACCAGATTTAGTCTGTTAAATGCCACTTGGGGCAATCTGTTGTTCGGTTCACTCGAATCCAAAATGTGACCCAGTGTATCTAATTAGACTTGTTGCCAGAAAGTTTGTATTATTTAATTTTTTACTCCATTGGGACTACTTGATTAGCTTCGTTGGAAAAAACACCTTATTTTTATGGAAAGCTTTAATTTCTTATTGATGTATTCACCGTGATATTAAATTTCTTATAAGACTAAATTAAAAATTTTAACTTAAATGCCCTTTATTTATGTTGAATTTGCAAAGATTCAAGAAAGGTTGTTATTTCAATGGGCCTTTGATTCCTTTCTTCCTCTCTCTCTTCGCCTTTCTTGTAGCTTGAGTGCTCATTATTTTCACATTTTATTTTGAAACTTCGAGTATGAGGAAGTGCATAATGAGGTATAATATTAAGCAGAAAAATTGATGAACTTTGTTGACAATAATTTGTATAGCGTTTTTATTTCCAAATGTCAAGCTTTATTTGAGGAACAATTTTTTTTCTACTCATCATAAATAAAAACACCGATCTTGCACATTAGCACTGAATTGAACACTATCGACTTTCTTGGACTGTTAATTTGACTGGTCACTACCATTTTTTTTTTAATTTTTGCCACTCATTCAGTCAACCCCATTGTTACGGAGGTTCTCGGGGTCCATCACTCGACCTCAGCACTAGAGATCAATGCCTCAAGATGCTATCAGCACGGAATACTGGCAGGTCTATATATATATTTTTTTAGTGAAAGCTACGGACCCAAGGAATAACCAAAAAGTATAAGCAACATCACGGCAAAAATTAAGTGTGAACTGATTTAAGTCTTAAACATGACCACTTGACCAGCGCTGGAATATGTGCAGGTGTATTTAAAAGATCAGGCAAGACTAGTACTTAACAACAGAGCTGTGACCGACCGTCCTACCATCTGTTATTGTAAGCTGACAAGTGGTAGAGAGAATGAAGGTATTAACCAGTTACTGGAGACTTTGTAGTGGATTCCTCCTCTACAAACGCTTGTCGCTGAGTAGCCGACCCCGCGAATTCCCCAGTGTATGCCTTGTGGTCTAGGTTAACCAGCGCCGCTTTACATGACGGAGGTCAACTATTAAGCCACGCCTACCTCCGCTATAGAAGACCTGACCTCGTGGTGACCTGCCTCTCTTTTTCCACCTACAGCCGCAGCAAGCAACACCTCATCCTCCACTCCTGCCCTCGCTCCCGCCGGCGACTATGCCGCCCTTCAAGCTGCCTGTCCTCTGAGAAACCCTCACCAACCAGCTCTCTCTACATCACGCTTGTAACCATGCTGCCTTCCCAGCACCAAGCTGCACTGTACATCCAATACAACATGTATACAGAGAGCACATTGTGAGTTTCTCCATCTCATCCTGAGTGTGAACAAAACAACCCGTACCCCACAACTCAGCGGACAGTTTTCTCTAATGATTTTCAAATGACTACTCATAGAAAATGTTGACATGAAAAATGTTCAGTTCTATTGTTGCATATTTCTCGATATGGTAAAAATGTGTTTATGTGTATTAAGGTGAGGATAAACGTGAATGAATAATCTTATTTTTTCCCAGCTGAGAACACCGTCTGTTCCATGTCCGAACGTGTTAATGCTGACAAGAGAAAGCTTTCCGCTTTTATTTTTATGATTTGTTTGATATAATTCATTTTTAGCTATAATTTAGATAATTATAAAAGGTGTAATAAATACTGAATGACCTAGCATATGGAAATATTTAATATTATTAAAGTATCGAGGTGGCATAAGCTGGTGTGCGCAGGATGTTAGCGCAGAGTCGGATGCGCCGCTGTGTGTCGTCTGTCACACGGCCGTCCTAACAAGTTCTTATGGTGATTTACTTGTGTTCTTAGTGGATCAGGCCACGGCTGACTTATAGAGAGGGTGGTACCATCGTATGGGTGGTAACGCTTCGAAGATGGCGGCTCCAGTAGTAGTAAACGCAACAGCTAAGCACACTGCAACAGTAAGTATATGTGCTATATCTTGGAGGCAATGTTTTGATTTCAATATCCAGGTTATTAGGTAGTTATAATGGCATTCAACGTAACTTGGGATGTTTTCTTACTTCAAGTAGTAAATAGGGATAGAGGTGTTATAATTTATCATTAAGCGGCGTTTATAAATGTCCCAAATAAATGGATCAAAGGTCACAGCTTTCACAGTCCGAGTCAGGCCTAGTTGTAGTGACATAATATGGTCTGTCACCATGATGCTGCTCAGATGATAAATAAATTCATGTTCACAATTATATCCTGCACCAGTTTGCTTCACAATTTTTTATTTTATTGAAGGGGGACATGGGTATGACAGGTTCACATGTCTACCTGTATTTAATGGGGTTAAGGAGCAAAGGTTAATAAGAGCAATACTTTTTTACTCATTAACTTTTAGTTGGATATTTTTTTAGGCATTTTCAAATTTTGGAAATAGTTTCCTTATCCACTGTAACTACTGCATTTATGAATTTTTTTCTTGTAAGAAAATTTAGTTATTATCTAATAGGCAGGGGTTATTTGATTGGTATCCCAGCTGAATACCCATTGGCTATTTTACCGTGGATTATGTATAATTTTAATGGGTATTGTATATGCATTATTGTACCAATGTGAATAACTATTTACTAACTTAACCTTGAGAATGGTAATCCACATTTTACTGGGTACAGAAAACCCACTCGGTATATTTTGTGCTGTTTAATACATTATATATGTCCATCAGAAAAGTGAGACATCTTGGAGTATCAGATGATGATTGAAGAACATAGTGATAAAGAATTCAACATTTAAATAATAGTGTAATGCCCACAGCTGACCTGACCCAGTCCTAATAAAATCATAGTAAAATTGTACACAATCACTGCAGGTCCTGGTCAAATAGCTGATGGTTATTCAGATGGGAATCTCGGTCAAATAACACCTTCATATCTTATATTAATATGGATCAGGTGTCAAAAATTGAAGAATGATTTTAAAATAAAGTTGAGTTACTGCTCCTGAGTGCCATGATGTTTTGGATAATTTCCTGTGACATTGGTGTTGAGGTCTATCTGCTCTCTGCGTGCACTTAACCACTTACACCTTTGTACGTGGAGTCTGAATCTTGCCTAGTCAGGTTAGGTTTGGTTGAGGTTTTCATAATTATATGGTGTAATTTGTATTTATCTAAATAATTTTTGTGGTTCTAACCTAACCTAACATAACCAAACCACACCAATCTTAACCTAATCTATCCTAACATTACCTTACTTATCCTAACCGAACCTTGCTTATTCTAACCTAACCTTACTTATTTTACTTATCATAACCTAATCAGACCTCTACTAACCTTTTCTGACCAAACACTGTCAGAGGAGGTGGATGGGGGTATAGGTATGAGGGAGGGGATGTGTGAATGAATGCTACTGACCACTCAGCTGGTGGTCAGTCTCTTATCAAACAAGTAAACAGAACAGGCTGGCCTCTCAGAGAAAGGTAAGAAAACAGAAAAATGCAGTTAGCTTAATACTCATCCCAACACAAGAGAGGGAAAAAAATCTGACTCGGCCTAGTGGGATATCATTGTACTGTATTAGAATTAGACTCGTGCCATATCAGTGCAATTTCACTCTCCCAGCTTTTCCTACTGTCATGGAGATTAAAGGACATAACAGGTACAGTACGTCTTTCTGATGTGATGCTTCCTGTAAGAGGACCTACCAGAAAGTCCCTCAGATTCAAGGGGTTAACAGCCTAAATCATATGCTGGTGTTGGCTTAACAGTTACCCAGTAGGTGAGTTCAGTACAATGATCAGATTAGGCTATTTGTTTTTAGTAAGTATGTTTTTAGTTCCACGTTTTCCCTCCTGTACTGTAGTTCTTGACCATGTCGATCTTGTAAAAATCGAAAAAAATTGTTTAAAGGGAGAGGTTACGAGAGTGTATATTGACAAATAGCATGAATTTAGATAATTTAAAGTGAAATCATATAACATGAGGAGCTACTCCTTAAAACATGGCTCATAAATTCGTCCTTAGAGTTTGTGTGCAGTGTTGAGGCTCATTTGAGTGTCACTAGTAGTATGTCTGCATCATATAAAAATAATTTTTCCATTACCAGAGACTTTTTTAAACCACGAGGACTACTGGTATTCATTCTCGATAAAATTATCTAAATTTCAGGCTTTCACAATCAAACTGTGCTGTAGCAGTTATATTATTTATACAGGTCCATACAGGTACTGTATATGATTCACAGTAAATTGAATGTTTTAGAGGTGGCTTAAGCAGATGATGATATTTAACTGATAACTTGATTTTTTCAGATAATTTTCCTTCATGGTCTTGGTGACACCGGGTAAGTAGAATATTTATTTCCAAGAATTATTATTACAGTAGTTTTCTTTTTTTTATTTTAACTTCCTTTAAGTGCCATAGGCCAATCCTCTCATTGCCAGGGATTGTGCAATGCCCTGTGGTAGGAATACGTACCCGATATATAGTACTGTACTACAGTAATTTATTAAGTACTGTACAGTATAATTCTTTTGCTGAATTTCAGTTGATAATGGTCATGTGTGTTGAAGTAGCTTTAAAATATTTCAGATTCATTATGAGACATACAGTACTGTATCCATCATTAGAAATACTGCATTACAATTTATTCACCTACATCAAAATAAATTAGAATTAATGACCCTTCATCTAGATTTAGATTTTGATGGTGCAGTCACAGAGTTTGCAGTAGTAAGCCTGTAAGCTTCACAGGAGTCATATATACTGTAGTTTAAGGTAAAAAGTGTGTCCAGAAAGCACTTCACCTGGACAAGAGCCTTGTTACCATATACATACAGTAACACTTCAGCACAGTACAGTAAAACTATTTCACTACTTACAAACATCTGGAATCCAAAATTTCATGTTCACAAAATATTTTAGGGAAAATTTTTCTACATACACAATCAATGTTTATATTTATGAAATCCCACACAGGTATGAAGCGTACAGCCACACCGGGGATTATGTAAGGTATACCTGTACACACTAATAGTTTACCCTCCAGCACATTTTATGAAAAAAGAAAAGAAAAAAGAGATTAATATTCAATTAATTATCTGTCAAATGAAAATTGACTTATGGAAGATTTGAGTATTCTAAATACGTTTTGAATTTAAGAATATGCTGTTGAATAATATTCTTTTATTTAAATTTCCACAAATTACATGAGAGTAAATGAGCATAACTTGGACAATGTGGCAAGTGGTTCAGTGACAGTGTGGTGATGTTAGTGATAAGTCTACTTGTCTTCATATGAGTTTGAAAAGTGAGTTATATACTGTACAGTATACGTACAGTATGTATCACTGACCCACATCAGGGCCTGGGGGGCAAAAATATATAATAATAATAATAGTGAAAATAAATAAAAATTTTAATTAAAATAAATATAATAATAATACAGTGTAATAATAATAACCATAAATAAATACAAAAATGAAAAATAAATCATGTAAGAAATGATATACAGTACAGTATGTATGTTGTGTTGTCAAAGTAAGAGAATCAATTGAGACCCTGCAATTGTGTGTAAATGAGGCAGAAAGTCAGATCAGCAACCTGGGACTTGAACAATTTTTGTGATGCCATATGGCAGCAGGGTCTACCATTAGACAACACATTATGCTTCCAATATCTTCCCAGGCGGTAGTACCTCCCTGTTTGTTAGTTGCCTACTACCATGGTGATTGTTGGAGAATGATGACACATTGAAAGTTTATTTGTTTATTTGTAGACTTAATAACATCGATTGTTAGAGAATAATGAAGTATGATAAGGTAATACAGTACAGCTACTCCCCGACTAAGGACCTACTCGACTTAGGACCACCCGGACATACGACTGCCTCAATCGTACCAAAATTTGGTCAAATTACGTATTTTCGAGTCCTTACATCAGTGATTGCGCTGTGTACTGACAAAATTTTTGCTTGTAATTCACTTTAAAATGGGGAGCAGCTGTATACAGGTACAATAGTGTATTTGCAGAAACTAATATTACTTTACAGTATAACAAAACTGAGACAAGTAGTGTTTTTTACATTCTTTCCTTGGACACGTGTTCATGATGGTGTCCACTTTACAGAATTATCAATTTTACAGAAGTCTCTTGGTCCCAAACTTTTCAGGTTAAACTTGTACTTTATTGTACCTTTTTCAATCCAAACTCACCCGATACTAGTATACTGTTCTGTACTTAACATAGATATAAATCTGTAAATTTTTTTGTAACCAGTGTTTTATTTTGGAGGTTATGTAAAGTAGAGGCTGACCCTGATTTACTAGGATTTATGGAAATTTGCAGCTGTGATAATTTTTTTTCCACACTTTGGTTTATGAAGAAAACCTCTAAATTTATGAAAAATCTTTGTAATGATGTAACTACTGTATGCTAAAATACTGGTTTTTTTTACTGCCAGTATGATTACTTATTTCACTAACTTATTTTATTATTCTCTAACACTCACAATGTTATTAACACTTAACACGACTGCCCTCCTCCCCCCCTCCTCCTCCTCCCCTCCTCCTCCTCCTCCCAAGCAATATTTTTTACCCGGCCATTCAGAACAAGCAGAAAGTTTCATGTTTTTTTATCCGCTAATTTAAACCTTATAAATTGGTTTTACCCCTATGTATTATATACCATCAGATGCAGGGAGTCTGTAAAATACCTGTACAGTACAGTACTGCATATTATTTTCTGAAATTAATTACTGTATGCTGAAAACTGAAGGCACACTTACACGTATAAGTGAATGTACTGTATAGTACTGCAGGTAGTAGGCAGCTATCAAACAGGAAGGTACTTCCTCCTGGGAAGATATAGGAAGCATAGTGTGTTGTCTAATGGTAGACCCTGCTGCTATATGGTATCACAAATATTGTGACCAAGTACCAGGTTGCTGATATGACTTTCTGCCCCCATTTACACACAATTGCAGGGTCTTGATTGTTTCCCTTACTTGACAACACAACATACATACTGTATAGCATTTTTCACTATTGATTTGTTTTCATTTTTGTATTTCATTGTATTTCTTTATTATTATCATTATTATTTTATTTTACTTTTTTTATAAATTTTATTTACGATGAATTATTATTATTACTATTACATTTTCGCCCCCCAGGCTCTGATGTGGGTCAGTGACCTGTGCCCGGGTGGTCACAGGTGGGAAATATTTTTTACAGCTCTTTGGTGTGCTATTTATCTGAGTATATTTTATATATATTACTATGAATTTGATCAGGCTTATGCAGAAAATCTTCCTGAAAACAATGATACAGTTCAGTTTTACTGTACAGAGTTTAGAAGACAGTTTGGGGAGTAGGGGAGGGGGTATGTAGCTCTCATGGCACGGGCTGCCAAACACTAACAATTGTTCAATTTTTTATGCATTCAATGAATCGAGTGATTTTGGGGGAATATTTTTCTCCATTGGGATTGAACAGCATCCAGATCCCTGAAACTTAAAGTTTTTGTTCACCACTAAGTATAGTGTTGAGACTACGAATTAGCTCTCAGCTTGTCATCATTCTTGTAAATTACCATATACTGTAACTTAATCTCAACCTTAGGTTGGGACAAGTAGACTCCACTCACAGCATTGCACACACTCAATGAACCAATCGCCTGATTGTTCAGTTTCTCCTCATTTACTCAAATGTAAAATATGTAAAATTTAGTTAAAGAAAATTATTACATATTCTTAATTTTCATATAGTAATGGTGTAAGTTGTTAGAAGAAGAGGAATATGGAAATGTAATGTTTGGAGGTGTGGAGAATGCTGGCAACGCATGAGAGAGGGTGAGTGGAGCGTCAGTCGACTGAGCTGAAATGCTGGCTTTGCACCTCTTTGTGCTCTGATATATTTCTCCAGTGGCTTTAAGGCACTTCTTTGTAAACATTTGAAACCAGCCCACAGTGAAATCACAGTGCATTGGAATTTTTGATATCTCATAAACTGTCCTTGGTCCAGTTGTCGCAGAATTTCCGCTTAATTTTTACACTTAGCACTTTGTTTCCTTGTAGCACTATTGAATTCTGTTCTATCACTGTGGGCAAAGTTCAGAGCACACCTGCCCTGATGCTTACTTTTTAACCAGCATCATCATAGCTCAAGGTGTTGTTGATAGCAGTGTTCTCACTATGTAAACAAGGTGGGAATTTAGGATGATGCAACACCTCATCAGAGGTTGAGTGTGGGATTTTTTTTTGTAGGCAATGTACGGTACAGTACCTCCAATTATATAATGGGAGTCAGTGTATGTAAGTGTTACTAGTGTACAGTAATATGATTGGTTTACCATTAGCATTTCATACTGTTCACTGTTTCTCAAGTACAAGTATAAAATTATTACTGTACTGACCTGCACGTATTTTGCTTATTGTATTTATTATTGTCGTATAATCATCATGTATACAGTATTATACCAATGTTTTGTGGGATTTTAAGATATTTTGGAAATTTTTAGGGAAATGTCCATTGGTTAAGGAAAATTTGGTTTCCAAGAGGATTTCAGGAACAACTCGCTTATTAATCGGGGTCTGCTTGTATACACTATTATTGTACCCCCAGCACATGATTTCTTTTTTGAACTGATTGATTGTTTTGATCTCTTATTATTGTATTTGTTTACTTAATATATATTAACTTTATTATTACTATATATTGTTAATGGAATTTGTGTACATATTTAGGCTAGAGAAGGATTGAGATGACTGCCCATAACACTTCCTTACTTTACTCCTTCATTTAATGAGAAAAGCTTTCAGGGTTTGCAAAAGTTTGGTATTCTCCCATTTTTTTTTAGGAATGCAATCCTTTTACATAAATTAAGTGCTGTACAGAGTATTTAGTTATTTTATATGCTCTCAAAATTCCTAAGTTTTGTATGGTCCTGTCTTTGCATACACTACTGTTATTATCCAAAGTGTTCTGGTTCACTCCTCTGAGTTATGCTGTCAAAGAGTAATGGTTTATGGTTCACCACAAACAAACTACGGTGCGGGACAGTACAATATACTGTATACAGGTCAGTATTACAGATTTTATAATATGCTGTGGCTTGGATGATTCGTGTATTTGTCATAAACTTGTAGTTTAACTTTTGGCTTCCCAGAAACCCTTCACTTGTGCAGCTGGGGTATACTGAGTACTTGTGAAGTCCCATAGAACTACAAAAGTAGAGATAGGATCTCATGTACTGTAATCCAACTGCAGTTCTCATAAATACAGTAGTGGTAGGATATGAGCCAGAAGCTTGAAAGCAAGTACTGTACTGTAAGTGTGTCACTGTGCCATTGTGTATGCTCTGAAATTGACCTTATATACACACACACACACACACACACACACACACACACACACACATATATATATATATATATATATATATATATATATATATATATATATATATATATATATATATATATATATATATATATATATATATATATATTTATTTATTTATTTATTTATTTATTTATTTATTATACCTGTATAGAAGATAAAACTTGATGAAACCAATTGGTTGGCACACAGTCCTTCATATCAGTATACACTGTGCATATATTTTTTGTGTTGTACGAGTGTTTACTATTACTTAATGATGTACAGTACTTGGTGGTTAATGGATGAGTAAATGAGCTGGTGTTGACACAGTACTGTACTGTATGTCATTATCAGTACTCTACAGTATTTGGTAACTCGGTTCAGATTTTCCCATGTGTGGGGATCTGGCCAAGGGCTACGGAGAGGAATTTTAGTGTCCTTAGTTTTCTTTTGGGGGGCGGGGGGGTGTCAAGAAAGATCCATTCTGGCAGTATAAATCTCTACTTCTGTCTTACAGTAAGTTGAATCTTATGTAATATCCAAATCCAGGGTGCTCCTTTACACTGAATCTTAAGGTATGTTGGATTTCTTCAGGGATCCGACACCTGGTTAGCTATGGTCCAGTTGTTATTG